AAACGCATCGATTCGCTACAGAAGGCCTTTGTTCACTCCCCGGAGCCGTGTGAGACACTTTTTTTTATGGATGGGCAATTTTTATTTAAGTTCTTTTGGACTGAAGCAATGCAACACCCACTGAGTGGCATTAAACAGCTTGAAAGATCAAAGACAATTTTTTATATAACTCCGACTGGATTCGTCTGAAAGAAGAAAGTCATATACACCTAGGATGCCTCGGGGGTGAGTAAAACGCAGCCTAATTTTCATTTTTGGGTGAACTAACCCTTTAAATCTAATAGTAAAAGTATCACAGAGTCCCCTGAATCTACAGATAATAAAATATCATTCAACACTTTTAAAAGTGCAGTCTCGGTGCTATGATGTTTCCTAAACCCAGATTGAAATTTTTCAAAAACACTATTTGACTCTAAAAAAACTCTGCAGTTGTACTAAAACAGCCTTTTCTAAGGCTTTTGAAAGAAAAGATAAATTTGAAATGGGTCTATAATTTGATAGGATGGTAGGGTCAAGATTAGATTTTTTTAAGCAAGGGTTTAACAATTGCATGCTTTATTTTGGGACAGTCGCTGTAAGAAGAGACTTGTTTATTATAGCTAAAATACTTGGCCCAAGAACATCGAAGACCTGAAGCAAGAACCGTGTGGGAATGATGTCTTGCGGACATGTAGTAGGTTTTAGCTGCTTAATAATATATTGAAAGGAGTTTAAAGAGATTGTCTGGAATTCATTACAGGTAGAAGTACAAAGAGAGGGGTCTGACCAATCACAATTTGGAGGTATAATATGCTGTCTTATGTCAACTATTTTATCTGTAAAAAAATTAAGAAAGCTGTCACATACTGCAGGTGATGCATTAAAACATTATTTAAATATATTTTAATAACACTGTTAAATGTAATCTATACCAAATTTTCAAATTAATGTCTGTTTTTCATTATGTACATTATAATGTTATGATGTCTGAATTGACTTACAGCATTTAAAATAATTTACAGTTTTATTCCTATCTATATTCTGAAGGTTTTTACAGAGGAATTTGTTAATATATAGTTTACCTGACATATATTTAACATTTTATTTCTAAAAACATGGAGAATTTTTTTTATTGGGTTCTTTTTTATTGGATTCTGATTAATGGAATGATAAAAAGTGATATCCTATTTTTTATTTTTATTTTTTGTAAAAAACAAAACAAAAACAAAAAACTTTTGAACCTGCTTCAGTTCTCGCATTTCTGTTCTGGACATTTATGCAAATTATTGCTTATTTAATCAGATAATGCCTCATTTCAGAAATCTTGTAATACAAAACAGTTGTCTTAATGTACAGTGATTAATCAACTGGGAAAAATATGATGATGTCTATTTTTTTTTTTTTTTTCCCTGTTCACTTGCAATGTCTTGCCTGTTTTAGTTTTAATTTGTTTCAACAAAATGGCTATTTATTGGTTATTCACCTTAACACAAATTATTGGCTAATAAGTATCGACCAGAATTGTAATACTGGTGCATTCATAGTAATTGGTTGTTCTCTAATTGGGCATTTCCACACATGAGGCTTCTGTAGACCTGTGACAGGATCAAGCAGTCAGCAGCGGGAACTAAGCGGCGTGTGTTCATCATCGAGACTATGGGAGGATACTGCGGCTACCTGGCCACCATGGCTGGTCTCTCTGCAGGAGCTGATGCTGCTTATATATATGAAGAGAGGTTTGGCATCCGTGACTTAGAGGTAACAAACAACTCAAATGTCATAAGAATAACTGATATCACTCAAAGTGGATTAAACCAAACCATTCGATTTGAATTTCTCCAATAATTTATGTTTGCAGAGAAATGTGGAACATCTTGTTGAGAAGATGAAGACCACTGTTAAGAGAGGCCTAATTCTTAGGTTTGTCATTCAGTGTTTGTGAATGTGAACACCAGTTTAGTTTGTTTTTACTTTTGAGGTGAGACTGCTTAAAGGAATAACTTCTATCAACAGCATGCCTCAGTGAATCATAGTGGAACATGAATAGTCAGACACCTTTCAACTAACATGTCTTGCAGAAATGAAAACTGCAATTCCAACTACACCACTGATTTCATCTTCAACCTGTATTCAGAGGAAGGAAAGGGTGTTTTTGACTGCCGTAAGAATGTCCTTGGCCATATGCAGCAGGTTAGATGTAATAAAAATCAAGAATGCACATTTATCAGGAGTTTGTATTTTGTCTGACAAATGTTCTTTTTCTAGGGTGGCACCCCAACTCCTTTTGACAGAAACTTTGCTACCAAGATGGGTGCTAAGGCTGTTCTCTGGCTCACTGAGAAGCTGAAGGAGTGTTATAGACATGGTGAGAAACAATGCGGTCTATTATTTCTTTATATTTTAGTTGTCCATGCCATAGCAACACTGTATATCAGTCTGCTCAAAATTTCAATACTTTAATTTTGTTGCGGTGTACATCTTGTTGTTATGGCTGATCTTTTTGTACATTTGAATGGATAATATATGATGCATTGGATACATTATATATGGATAATGTATCCAAGATGATATATAAAAGTTTAGGGTCAATAAGCTAAAAAAAATCATGCATGGAAACATTAAATTGAACAAAAGTGAAGGTAAAGACATGTATAACGTTACAAATTATTTCTATTTCAAATAGATGTTGTTCTTTTAAAGTTTCTATTCAACAAAGAATCTTGAGTCTTCTTTCAAAAACATTTATTGACTTTTAATTGACAGTGGACAATTCTAAAATCATTTCAACTCAAATCAGTATTTCATGTACACGTATGTATTTATTTGGTGAGTAGCTATGTAGTAATGTTCACTCAGCCAGTCTCAGAAAATATTATTTTTATTATTATTATTTGTTTCCAACAGTGAACTGCTGACAAAACATTATCCCTTTACTTAATCAATCATTTGTCAGTAACCAGGACCCTTCCCTTCCCTTTTGACTGTCTGTACAGGGCGAATCTTTGCCAACACCCCAGACTCTGCGTGTGTGTTGGGCATGAGGAAGAGAGGACTGGTGTTACAGCCTCTGGCTGAATTGAAAGAAGAAACAGATTTTGAGTAAGAATCTTCCATTATCATGTGCCATTTAATGCATGTCATTCCTAACTTTGTGACTCAAATAATTCATGACGGTCCACAAACTCCCTCCCTTATCTCTTTCCCTCAGACACCGTATTCCGAAGAACCAGTGGTGGTTGAAGCTGAGGCCTATTATGAAGATCTTGGCCAAGTACCAGATTAGTCTGGACACCTCTGAACACGCTCTTATGGAGCATGTCATCAGCAAGAAGCCTCCAGTGCACATGACTCTCACAAAGTAATCATGAGCAAAAATGAGGACAGACAGATACAACACACATATGAAATGACTGATTTATTTATTTAAGTTATTTGTTCATCTGTCTGTGTCTTATTCATTCATTTTGTTTGTATTTATCGTATTTATGGTAATGCTGTTGCAACATGCAAATTAAAATAATCTTATTATTAAATGCCTTTGGTTTTCTTTTTTCTTTTTTTAATTTAGGAGGGAATGAAAAAACTAAGCCTGGTAAATAAGCCTAGTAAATATTTAAGGATAATGCACACAAGCAACCACTATTTTATTATATATATACATGCCATGATGCATCTGTATGTTTATTCATTACCATCCATTATTGCAATAATGACCAGATATTGTCTTAATTTAAATGTACTGGGTGGGTGAAATGCTCCTTTACGCTCTTAAACGTTAAAATTGTTCCTTTGATTAAGCCTTTGATTGAATAACATCTGTCTGTAAAACATCTCTGTATTTTGGGGGAGTTTATTTTAGACGTTTTTCCTGAGTTTACTAAGATTTATCTGTTTATCTTCAGAAGAGGCCTTCACAGAGGTGCTATTTAAAAAAATAAATAAAAAAAAGATGGCAAAATTTTCATTTTGGGTGAACTATCCTTATAAAAATGATAAATAATATTTGTGTTCCACAGAAGAAAGTAATGAGTTTATTGCCAAGCATGTTTAGACACACACACACACACACACACAGAGAGAGAGAGAGAGAGAGAGAGAGAAGATGACATAAAGAGTAAGCATAGAAGGAGTACATTTAAATATTTATTAGGAGAAAGACTTTTATTTTGGCAGGCAGCTTGTTGTCAGCCATTGCCCCAACCGGAAGCTGAGCAGATCAACTTCAGAGGGTATCAAGAGGCCGCTGAGGAACTCAAGATATTACTAGGGAATAGACAAATGCAATCAAGAATTAAAGAAGAAGTGTTCAATTATCTAAAAAAGACAGGAAATATGGAAAGAATATAAATTGTAATTGTGGGATTTTTATTTATTTTATAATATCTTTCTGTCTACCAAATCTGTTCACTCCTCACTCCAGATCAGTAGGTGGCGGTAATGCACCTTTAAGTTGGTTTGCCAAAACCGCCAATAAACATCAAAAGAAGAAGAAGAAGAAG